GAATCGCGCGTCAGGCGTGTCGGATGACCGCACGATCGATTGTATCTAATGCTGTGCGTTGTTGCGATCGGACAACCGAGTATGAATGCGCCGTCACGTGTGATAGATACCTACGTATCTACTCCACACAAAGCCGCACAATCGCAAGATCGCAAACTGTGACCGCAGCCTAAGATACGCTCATAGTTCATAAGCGATTTCGCGATTATGCTGGAAGGGATAAATATGTATCGACTGAAGGACCGTTGCCATATAGGGCCGATGTCATAGTTTGCGAATCGCTGGATCCGAGCGTTGCGCCAGCGAATCGAACTGTTGTACCAGCGATCGAACGATGTACCAGCGACTCGAGAACGAAGTAAAGGAACACATTGTTTGGAAGTCGTAAGATTTCCTTTAAACGTTGGGTCCCGCCACTTTCAGACAGTGCTGGTACACAGCTCGAATCGCGGATTCGCAAAGTCTGACATCGACCATAGAGCATCGACGAACGGTCATTGGGTGGGGTCAATTCGATCGATGTGCGCCTAGCCCTTTGAGCATAATCGCCAAATCGCTTTATCGCACAGTCGGCAAATTTCATATCGATATGTATGTGAGCGTCATCCGCAAACCGCTCTAATGGTGAGCTATGAACGTGGCCGGTGCAACTTACCTCAGTGTGGAGCGGGGTGAGCCAGGGGAGTTAGCCAATCTAGGGGGATGGGGTGAAGGCAGTCACTTGACATGCGTGAAAAGTTGAAATGTTCGAGTTTTCACTATGTCATGTGGACTGCCCCCCCCCCCCCGAGCCATATTGAGCCGCGCGGCTTACGTGGAAAGTCTCAAGAGGATGCTGATCTTATAAGAAGGAACATCCAAGCCCTACGTCTTCTGTCATTCAACACTAAAACTAAAAGGGAGGTTGGGCTCAGGGAAATCGAGGAGAATGAGCGCACTACTAAAAGTAATCCACGCCCTCCAGATGCCACCTAATTTATGCGTAGAATCGAAAGGCGTCACACATCACCTAAGGACTCCATTGAGGGCAGTGTACATTTTATCCACTGCCCTCAATAGAGTCGAAGGCCCGGACTTTAGCCCAAATCTGAGTCGCAGCTGAGGCTAGGGACCCAAGGGATTTCTACGATTCTTCTTCTTGCCCTACAGTCATTGCAATTTCTGCTTCTGTTACATCTTGGAAGGCTTTGTCAAATAAGAAGGCTGAATATCAACATACCAAATTATTATTATCAGCTTAATATATAAACACCAACATCAGAGACGACACAAATTGAATGACATTACAAAAATCTCACAGTTGAAATCAGTTGACAGAATCAGAAGGAGTGAATGAGGTAAGAACAACAGAAATGGAATACAACAATATCTTTTATGCACCCGATGACATCTACAATCTACTAACTACGTAGATCGTCGTTACCGCTCTCCGACGGTTTCCTCATTCGGGTTCGGGCTTCATGCTTCTCCTGGCCTCAACATCATCTTGTTCAATCTCTTCCAATCTTTAATTTTCCGTGCTTCTTGAACATCTATTTTGTTCATGTGGTTGTGGTGGCTCTTGGGTGGGTGGTTCGTGTTCATCTTCGTTATCGCTGACTTCCTCATTTTCGCTTTCTTCATGTTCTTCTTCGGGCTCCTGTTTCACGTCACATTGATGATCCTCTTCAGTTTGCACTTCTTCCTTCTCGTATAACTTCGTACGGCTCCATGTTCTCCACAAGAATCGGAATCCGATTCTTCCTTTTTCTTGCTCTTTGCTGTCCCCGAAAGCTTAGCGATGAGATCTGTAATAAAGGGAATTACTGATTAGTTTCAGAGGCCGATATATAGGTTGGTGCGCAAGTTGTGCGACATTTGACCCCAGCACCATTTGCTTACTTATGTGTAGCGGAACCCCGCCACAACGGTGTGGCAAACGCTGAATAAGAAGGAAGACATTTGCTTATTTATTTGCAGCAGAATGCGGGGTCGTGACATGTCTTGAACGGTATTTTGTTCGACAACAATTTTTGCCAGCCATCTAAAAATGACTGACCCGAATTTCAACCACCTGGAATCCCATTCCTTCAGAGGCCGCCTGCTATACTGCTTTCCATCCTTCTCCCTCCCCCCCCCCCCTCCCCCCGGCTATGGGGGCAAAGCCCGTTTAATTTTTTTGTCTCCCCAACCAGAAGCGTCTTAGGGAAAGACTTAATTGTAAATCTTGCGCGGAAAATTCTTGCACTCTTTCCTAACATGAATATGTTAGTTGTGATGTCAAATTATTCACTGGAAATAGCACACAAAGTTTCACGCATGAAGATTCGGTTTCTGAAGAGAAACAAACGTACAAAAACTACACGTTATGGACCATCGAAGGACCAGGAGGCAGAGCCAGGCGAGGCATGGAAAGAAGACGGCGTTTGGCCGGCTACGTACCAGGCGACGCAATGAGAGAATCGGGTTAAAGCGCGCGATTTCGGAGAGTGGAGACAAATCGATCGATGGAATAGGATGGAGTAGAAGTGTAAGATGTGAATGCAACGAAGCAGAAGGCCAGAAAGAGCTTCTAGTGAATGCACTCCAAGAACCAAGTTTGAGCATCCCCGTCGCCAGCATTCGTGAAAGACGTCCGTGGGCAATTCGAACGCGTAGCAGCCTTTTCGAGTTTTCGAATTTCTAATCAAAACGAAAGCAATACTTCGGTTCTTTTCACTATTATCGTGGATAATGAGTCTCAAGCCAGTGATTTATGGCTGAAATAGAATCATGATTTTTCCGCGCAAGATTCCTTTAATTGTAACGTATGCATTGACGCAAAGTGAGCATGTGAAAATAGGGAAACTGAACCGTCAACGAAAACAAATACAGTAGCGGTCAAAAGTGTTCGCCGGAAACGGTTTTTCGTGCTCCCCTTTTTCTTTTGCTAGAAAAGTCCACGGTGATCTCAGAACTTTCATTTTGAATATCCCTATTCTTTGATACTCAAGGATATTAAAACACTATAAACCTTGGTATATAAACCTTTGGAGGGCTTTGCTCAAGTGAGAGGTAATAATGCACGGAAAATCGTTTCGGCGAACACTTCTGACCAGTACTGTATTTTAAAGTGATCTTCTGCTCCCCTCTGGCATGGGGAAAGGATAGCATACGGCCTCAGGCATTCTATCGGGAAAAGTGACACCATTATTTCAGAAATGCGGCCTACACTACTAAGCAGGACAAACGCTGAGAAACGAGCAAGAATAAGAGGAATTGCTTCAACTTTATTATGATGAAGTTTGGACCTCAGTTTTCCAGAGCTTAGGCATTGTGCTACTTTATAATTTGACGCATAAATAAACTAGCCTTTTGCGATGTTGAACACTCCTCCAGTATTTTCGCCACAAACAGCGCAACGCTTGTTCTTTCTGAATGCAGCCAACGCACAGCTTTCACAGAAATAATGCTTACACCTGGAAAACAGTTCTACTAAATCTCGTTCATACAACAGGTTGAATTAGAGAGGTATTCGAAGCAAGGAAAGAAACAAACCTTGTCACCACTGGTGACACAAACGGCTTGCCACAAATAAAGCAGTCCTCGGGAAATCCATCTTCATCCTCGTTGATCTCGTAATTAGTTTCGTCAACCTTAACAAGGAATTCATTAAAAACAACCATTACACAACGCGCGTTTCAGGCGCATTCTTTTGACGGCGATGAAGGAACCCAGACACAAAGGCGCGATATTGCAGACACGCAACCGAAAAACGCCTCAGGTCCCATTCAGGCGAATTTTGCATGGTAAATGAATAAAACATGATTGATACAAAGTTAGATTAGTCTTTTCAGTGCGTAGAAGCGCCCCAGAGATATAGTAGTGAAAATTTGGTTGAAAGTCGGATGAAATAATAGTGAAAAAGCAAAATTTGTCAGAATCAGCTGCAATGAACGTCAAAAGCAATTTTGCACCGATTATTGCAATCCAAACACATATCTTGTCATACTTGAGGTTCCGTATTGACTTACACTACCCTTTAAATATTCACATTCATGAAAAGAAAATGTAAACAAAAAATCAACTGGGTTGACGATTTCGTTCGGTTCAGAAAACCTCCCCTAATTTGAAGCACACGTGACCACTCTAAGAGCGACTATGTTTCTATCTATGTTAAGGTTTTCTCTATGGAATGAATACAAGAAGCCTAAAAATGAATCACGTGTGCGAGAAAAAAATGAATGCATTGGGTGCAGGACACATACGTCCCGCGTTGTCCGTTGTGGTCTGCAAAGTGCGGGACGTATGTGTCCTGCGCTGTCGTCAACGTGTTAAAAACAACCATTACACACGTAGAAAAATTCAGAGATGAGAGTCAACTTTCTCCGTTACAACGCCTCAATGTAAAAATAGTGGAAGACAGAACCATCAGGGAAGTATGGCCAACTGCAGCGACAACAAATGAGGTATATCGCTCCTGTGTAGAAGCGTTCCTCATCAAAAGCCGCGCAGGGCGGTCTCATATGGATTAACATAAACAGCTATGTAATATGACTTCTATGGGATCTCTCCGATTAAAGATCTTCTGCTCCTTCGGACACTTATGGCTCGACGATATTGAACACCTCTCCTATTCAAGTTGTAATGTGTGTCCATAAAAGGTTGAGCCCCATTTTACATGCTCACTATCACTATTGACCTACCTTGTCGTTTAGCTATTATTGTGGAGCTCCAGACCGTTTCAAAAACTGCTGCAAAAAGCTCAACTCCAGCAGCAGAATCAAAAAAGCCAACCATTGTCCAGCAGACGGGGAAAAAAGTCACTTGGCTCTGGGAGAATTGGGCGACGAGGACATCCTAATTGTATCCGGAGCTGGGTCTCATATCACTAGAATCGGGACTTCAGCCGACAATTTACATGCGGTTGTATGAGGAAGAAGAAATCCCTTTGAATCAACGGTAAACAATAGGCTAGACATCACAGCTGGTGTGACCCACTCCTTTCCAAACTTCTAATTCTTGGCAATGACGATCTATCCTTCCAAGACTTTTATATGCGGCTTTTCTATCAAAAATTATATGTATCATAAAAAAGCTGACGAAGACTTTTTGTTCAGAAAAGCGTATCTCCTAATCAGAGAACCGGACTACTCTTAGGTCAGAAGACCAAAATATGATCCATTCCTATACATCTATGCAGGGCATGTAAAATTAAAAATTTAATATTGTTATTATATATGTTGTAAAAGTAGTATTGAATAATAATTGATTAAATTCCAAATTTCTTGATTAAGTCGGTGATAAACACGTATTGCAGTAAAAAGATAAATAAAAACCTTGTTTAGCCGTCCAGAGGCGTAATCTCGCTCGATCTCCCATCCGTGCTTGTAATCAGAACGATCGTGAAGAAACTTGCAAGAGTCTGGAACAACAATAAAATATACTTTGATTCAAAAACAATAACTATTTATGGCGAAGCCCATACAAGGTTGCAGCAACACTCACCCCCAAATGTACAGAAGCCGGTTTCCTTGTAATCCTTGCAAATATCAGGTGCATAGTCCCAACGAACAGTTTGGCGAAGAAATTGTGGCGCACGTATGGGACCTGCAACAAAATTTACCTAGGAAGATGTCCTTTACTTAACCATTCCGTGAAATGTACTAGATCTTTAAAACTATGTAAGTATCACGTCAAACGTACCAATCCTATTCAAGCCACTGCTAGCATTTCCTTTAACGGTGTCCCTGGCTTCCTTAGCGCCATACATCGCCTGTCCTTTGTAAAGTGTTTTCCCGTCCTGTAATTTAATGTATAACATTGTACTAGTACAAAATTTCAGGTAACACTAGAGCAAAAAATATTGTTAAGAACTTGGCAACTAGTATATAAAAATGTATATGTACCTTGACAAGGCCTTCTTTGAGCTGTTGCTGGATTCTCTCAAATTGCGCTTGTGCATCCGCTGTGTACTCGGTGTCAACTTCCAATGTAGCAGTAGCTCCTTAAAGCAATAAGTAAGTGAATAGCCTATCAATAAAACGTAATTGTAAGCACGCGTAATCGGTGGTCACATTATTAAAATAGGCACTGACCATCGATATAACCTCAAACGGTGAAATATGGAGCCTGCAAAATGAAGCTGCCAAGCAAGTTGTGAGCGGTCAAAGTTTGCTGGAAGTAATGCCTTACATATGAGCCACACTAGCTTGCCGGCATTCAGTCGCCTTGGAGTAGTGGTAGTGCTGCTCTCCAACCGGGATGTCATAAGTTCTCTTTCCGTTGGAGTGCAAATTTTGGGGATCATACTACTATCCACGGCAACTCTGAAGCTCTTACGCTAATTTTCACACGTTGTATGACACTTTATTTCCAGCCAAGTTTGACTGCTCACAACTTCCTTGGCAGGTTCATTTTATACATTTGTAATCAATGTTCGAAGCTCTATCGATATAGCTAGGTCTTGTTTCAAAGTTCCATGGGAAGTTGAATGCCTTCATTGGTTAGTATGTTTCACTACTCTTTCATTACAGGGTTCAAATAAGAAGCAACTAACCTTGGTCACTCGGTCCTAAAGGAGCCGCACTTCCACTCGCAGCGAAAGAATGCTCTGCCACAACGCCAGCATTTCCCTCCTCTGAGTCATCGCTAGATGTCGATTCTTCAGCACCGGCAGTTCTTGAAGACTTCAACGTCTACAAATCCCATTAGCATAAAGACATATGTATAACGAAGCAATGTGCAGGAAGGCTCATGAGAGCGTTATCAACCCACCGATTGCTGGAATGGATTGGCTCGCTTTCGCCTTTTGACGTCCTTAACAACACTCGTATCTTCATCTCCGGACAAATCCTCTTCTTGACGTTGACGTACCTGTAATATTTGAGCAGTAAAGATCGTTATAGTTATTATGAATAAAGGTGATGAATTGTATAGCATTGTATCTTTGCAAGAAGAAAGTAATAGAAATTCAAAAAAGTTTCACAGCTTTATGCGTTAGCCTCGTGACAGACAGCGATTTCGCACAAAAGATTAACATAAATAAAATATAACGTGAAATTGTAATCCGGAAATAATGGAAGCAATGAGCCAACAGTGGACTGACCTGGACTTGCGCACGTTTCTTTACCGGTTTACGGAACATCGGAAACTAGTGTCACCCACAATGAGCCAGTGGAAGGAGAAAACAATTGAAATGGCAAAGCAGTGAACCTTCGAAAGGGCGCACGCATAGTCGGTCGTCCGACAGCAACGGTCGCAACTGTCTGACTGTCTGAACTGCATCTAATCGTCGAATACTCAGGCAAGTCCGACGATCGATACGCATCCAATGCTGTGCGACAGTTACGATCGTTGTTGCTGTCGTCCGACCGACTATGCGTGCGCCCATGCGGCGAAAGGGAAAACCCGCTCCAGTCACACAAAACCTTTCCTTTAAATTATAACTGGAGCGCGATAAGTTTCGCAGACAGCCCGCCCATCAGTCATGAGATTTCCGAACAACTAGTCTTCTATGCAGATAATTCTTTGTTTGCTGACGAGGTTTGCTTGTCTTCCGCGAGATGGTTTCTTCGTTGTTTGGGGCTTCTAGGTGTGTCGTAGGTCTAGAACTTTTCGAAGGCAACCCTTGGAAAACGCTATCTCGAGTTACGGGGCTTTGTGCCGGCAACACATCTTAGACCCCCGAATACCTACTTTTGTTATACACGGGCTGAGCTCTGGACAGGATAGGGGAAATTCCAAAGTGCTCAAGCAATTTTCATTTTCCGCCCTCTCATAGGCAGCATCTTGCGGTAGTTCCCCCTTAAAATTGAATCATCTTTTCTGTTGCTTTTGTTGAACTGTTAGAAGCCTACAATCTTGTGATATTTTGGATGGTTTCTTCAGTCCGCTACAATATTGCTTCACAGTGTCTAATCATTCTTGTTCTCTTGCAAACTAAGCATAGAACTCTCTCTGTTTCTCAATTTCACCCTGTTATTGAGACCTTGAAAAACCCAGCTGTTGTGATTAGTGCAGTGGAATGACGAAATGTTTTCATGGTCATAGGAATGTTGTTTGAAGTTCACAAGATGTCGCAGTGATACTCGCCAGCAGTTCAGCAGACAGACATCTGTCTTCCTTCCGACTGCCGTTCAATGAACTCTCTAAAAAGACTACCCCACAAAACTCCAGCTAGGTACCTACTCTAATAGCTAGCTCCCTAATTTTAGTCTTGTTCGAAGGTGAAGTATGAAAAGAATTCACAGAATTGGTCTATCGTTCTGTCTTTTCCAGACATTGTCATTGTGCCTTTTCAGTTGATCGCTACCCAGCTTTTTTCCATGAAGGTTTAACCGCAAGGGGTAATATTCGTTTTTCACGTTCATGCATATTGACATCAGAAACACTAACTTCTTGTTCCTTAAAGAATTTCTCACACTATCGACAAATGTGTCGTTTCCAGAGATAGTAAAGTTCATAAAATATGAACGTGTATCCCTTTCTCATTGGTATGGAACATTATGTAATTTCACTAAGCAAAGAGGTTTCTAGTGATTTTTGAGAAAAACTATTTTATGGGAGAGATTCTGCTCAAAGCAACAGTCCCAGCAGGGTTTTTAGGGTTCACGGACTACTTATTTTTCCTCAATGGTCCTGTCGCGAGCGAATGGCTAGAGCACAGATGACTAGAAAACGGGTGAATATCCCTGGAATTAAGTATTGGAGAAAAGAGGGACCCGCGGGCGCAGGGGCGGTTTAAGGCTCGAGTGTCTCCGCCGATTCCAGGCACCTAATGGTGTGGAACGATGCGCTAGCCCTAGTCAAGAACATAAGAAAGTGTGACTGAACAAAAACTCACCTTGGAAAGCCGCTAGAAAGGGAGCTGAACGGCTTCGAAGTGGGCGTGGTTGGAAGTCGGCCGAGGGATTGCAGCCGATTCGCAACCACGCCCACTTCGAGGCCGTTCAGCTCCCTTTCTAGAGGCTAGCACATCGTCCCACACCATTAGTGTCGTAGGTGAAATCCCTGCTGGGAGTGCTGCCTTGAGTCCTTTCCAGTGTAGGTGTGAAATTAACACCGGAAGAACTTAAGAACTTATGTCTATCGTGAAAAGAGTAACCGCTACATGTCCTGTATCTAGTTATCATACAGATTTCATCGTCTACGAAATCACTCCATTTCTGAATTACTTTTTCCGGTCTAGTAGATCACTGTTTCATCTTCTATTACTTCCTTCCTATTTCAGATGCCTGTAAAGGCGTCGACGTCGACGGTGCGATGGGTTCGTGAAGAAGCTGGACCCATATTCAGCGGTCTTCGTTTGCTATTCCGTAGTCAACTAGGTTACGAAGGCAGAGAGCTTGAGCAGCAATTTTACCGAAATGGCCTGCGAACGATAGTCGGTGGAGGAACGGTTGTCGATCCTCTAAACCCCAACAAGCCTTCACCTTCACTGTCTATTCCTGAAACAGCTGCTGATATTCTTGAAAGAGCTAACGCAGTTGCTATAGGAATTCGTACGTATGCAGGCTTGGTGACGAATGGTGCACCGCCTGGATCTGGTGGATACACCGTGTCTCCTTCGGGAGAAAAGGCCTATATCACAAATCCGTTTCCGAGCAACAACGTTGTTTTCGGATTGGGAAGGGTGGCGGAACTTGTTTCCAAAGGAGTTCTGTCTCTCCCGAGTTTCTCACTTCCGAACCTTGAACGACTCGGAGAAGCAGCTCAGAAAGAGCCGTACTTCAAGGAGACCGACTTTGCGAGTGCTAAGTCCACCGTAATCCCTTCATCTGGAAGCATACTGGACAATGGTTTGACTAAAGGAAGAGGAAGAATTTCTATTGAAGGCAGCACAGTCTGTAGACGATATGGAGGCCGAACAGAAAATCCGAGGGAAGAATAAGAACATATATCGTCCAGTTCTTCCCGAAGGTTATGTCGTCGATGCTGGTGATATGATGAACGGCCTATCGAAAAGCAAGGAGAGTAAAGTACCATCATCTCGAATTGGACGGCAAGTGCAATTTGCGATTTTAAATCCCTTGTTTGTAGGAAGGAATCATTTCAGGTTTCTGCAACTCATAAGAACGTTTGTTTATTTCAGTCTGGCTTCTTTCGGTCAGCTAGCTGTCGGACTTGCCGGAGGTGCTGCAGCCGAGGTCACTCGTCGAGCTTTCACATTCGGAACATCAGAAATTGCTGAAGGATTGCCAACCAATCCCCTCTTTTCTCCTGCAAACGCCGATCGAATTGTTCAGACTTTATGTCGGGTTTGTGATTTCAATGTGGAGGAATTCTTAAGGATTAATCGCCCCTTCTTTCATCTAAATACTTCCAACTTCGCTATTGTTGTTTGAACTCTGCTGCCCTTCTAGGGTTTTAAACTTCGAAAGTACATTATTCTTTCGGAGACTTCATTATTCCCTAACATTATTTACAAGATGACTTGCAAGATACTGCTGAATTCATTAACTTCTTCTAGTTATATATTTTGGGTAGTAATGTTCTTCAATTAAGAAGGAAAACATGGTTCGTCAATTTCTTCTCTCTTGCGATAATTGGCTGGTTCAGGTGAGAGGAGCAGCTTTAAAACTCGGGCAGATGCTTTCAATACAAGATCCTGAGACCGTTCCCGCCGGCCTGCTTGAAATTTTTGAGCGTGTTCGACATAGTGCTGACTTTATGCCTTTGAAACAGGTACCAAGCCTTCATATATTGCAATAAATGCTATCATTTCTCACCATCTACAGTTTCAAATCTTAATTAAGGTTGACAAACAGATGACTGCCTCCTTTGGATCGGACTGGAGGTCGCGATTCGCTTCTTTCGAAGAACGTCCTTTTGCAGCAGCCTCTATTGGACAGGTGAGGAATTTATAGAAGGAGATGATTACAAATGCAATACCTTGTCCCAAGTTTGTAAAACGCTTACTGTTTTTACAAGTACTGACCATGAGTGTTCAACAACAGTAAAGTATTAGGTCGCAGCAAAGAAAGTCCTTGTGGAATTTTTCAAAACTTGGCAAATGGCTACACATTAACCTGCAAGTGAAATTTCTTGAACCATATACAGGGAAAGTGATATTCCTTCATATTCTCGAGTCTCACCTCCTGCACGCTTTTTGAAGCCTGGAAAATGCCATACGTTTCGACCCATGTACGCCACTGCCTTCTTTGCGAATTTTGTCTGGGACACACAGCGAGCGAAGTTTGCTGGAATATACGCTCTGCGGGAGGAGGAGTGGCAGTTGAGAAGACCTGGCAACAGACATATGATGTCAGACAGTCAATTGGAACGTTTGGAGCTACTACTTCAAGACACTCCGTATGCAAGCGCCAAGGAGTTGGCAAAGGAAATGCAGTGCTCCCACATCGCTAGGTCGTGCCCTCCACAAGCGAGGAAAACTCAATAAACATGGGGCCGTATGCTGAATGTTGGGGAGGTAATGGGATCCCCCACCTACGATACTGTATGTTGGGGACCCCAGTAAGGTTTCGTCACAGGACCCACAGGTGACTGGCCAGTCCATTATTTCTGTGATTCTATTTTCGTCCTTCACTTGTTCTATTAGGTACCGGATATCTTAATGTCGTTTTTTCACCAAGAGTTTTGGACCAGCAATATTTCAGTTCAAAACCCGGGGAGCGAATTAGTTTAATCATAAAATGACTTACTAGGATCCCCTCATCTAACAGTTTGAGTGGAAACCTTGCACGATCCAAGCTCGGAATTTTTTGAGTTAAAAAGGAGAGGCAGGTCGGTTTTGACATCCTCTGATAAATCATCCCTCTTACTTGCTAAAAAGTAAGGCCTGGACAAAGTAAGTATACAGCTGGTTAGCGTAGGGTCTGCATTGCACGACAGAAAAATTAGAACTTATCAGCCCAAGTGGGCAGTTTTTTACGGAGACTTTTTTGCAACATAGGGTCAAAAACGCACCCTTTTTGAGCGCGCGTGAGAGGCAGGTGAGCACATTTATCAGAATATCTTGCGGAATCAAATTCATAGGAATGTTTGCGCATCATCATTCCATCACAGTGAAAGTATCCTACCATTTCAGCACAAGTCTGGTGCAGCCCCTTCTCAGCTGGCTTAACTAGGGCCATCTTTTTGAAGACGATTGCAGGCATCCTTTCAAAAACTTCACTGTCTTTTAGGAAACCTGAGGAGAACCGGTGAGCATTCCAAACGGTAGTATTCCTCTAACAAAAAGCAATGTTAGTTTGGTTGGCGGATCTGTAGCTCCCAGCCCGACTTTGATGGCATTTGGTACACACATACGAATTTGCGCAATGAACCCAGGAATTTTCAGAAAAAGGTATAAAAATTGGGGGAGAGGTAAATTGTAAAGTAACAATAGGGACTAATAAGCAACATATTACGTAGTATTAATAAGCAAAAAGAACGTTCTGAGAAATTGATTTTCCATGGTAATCGGCCCCGAAACTTCCTGAACTCAGAAAAACGACATTAAGATATCCGGTACCTAATAGTTGCTTACTGCGTACACAATTGCTGTTGCTGATGTAGTACATCAATATGGCACGAAGTGATAGAAACGCGAAGCAAACTGCAGTCTAAGTAGTTAATGGACAGACTGGCAGTACAGTTAGACGTACACGAACGACCCAGTATATGAAAGAATTAAAGGATAAACTAATGCAATTACAACTATATAGCAGTATATGCGTGGACAAATCTACAGTATAAAACTGTGAAAAGGTGAAAACGTAATCGTAAAATCAAAGGACCGGTCAGTGGGTGACCGGTTCTTTGATTGTATGATTACGTTCCCGCTACGAAACTGCCGGGAAGCCCCAACATTCAGCATCGCGGGTCGGGGGACCCCATCCCCTCTCCAACATTCAGCTACGCAGTTTCCATAGTCGAGGATCCGCATTAAGCTGTAGCACATCATTAGGAGATGCTAGGCAGTACCACCACCGTCGACGCTGAGATGTACTGCTCACAAATGCGAAGGCTCGCAGCTGAAGTCGCGAAACTTCGCCCGAAGCTGGACGAAGTTTTTTTCTTCATGACAACGCGCGACCCATGTTGCAAGGGTAACCCAGGACACATTGGCGGAACTTGGATCTGCGGTTTACCCCATCCTCCATATTCGCCAGGTCTTGCACCTACGGATTACCACCCGTTCCTTTCCCTGGCTCACTTCTCAAAGGATAAAAAGTACGACAACTGTCAACAGTTGAAAGCGGACATGGGCACTTCTTCGACTCGAAACCTGCCGAATTTTGGAAGGTGAGGGCATTTGTTCCCTTGTCGACCGATGGCGGACTGTTGTAGGTACTTGTGGGAATTATTATTCGGAATAAAGTTCAATTCAAAGAAAAATATGAGTTTTTGAAATTGAGGGTCGAATCCGCCATTACTTTCGTTGCGACCTAATACTTCACTTCCTTTCGCTCTCAGAGCGGTCGATTTGTGGAAAAGGAGAATTCTAAAGTCCGGCGCTCAAGCATCTAGTTGTTTATGTATACTTCGTGAATGCAGATGAAAACCCTACCAATGTCGGAAAAAAGTGATTTAGCCGAAACTTTGTCAAGAAAAACTTGAAAATTATTTTGTTGGCTAAGCAGAAAAATTAGACTATCCATTCATGTTATGCATGAAAGGATCCCCCCTCCTTGACCGAAACAAGTACGTAAAATATGACTAAAACGGGTAGAGGGTCGCCATTGGGGCATAGGCGGTGCCCGACTATTTTCTGTGTACAGGGGTGGCCAAAAAAAAAGACACTTAGCCCATGGCGCACATCATCGAACTTTTCGTCGCGCACAGGGAGCCGATGTTAATGAAAGTTTTACGGCGGAATATTCCTTAGGTGTTCCCCCGTAAACAGAAGCAGGCCCTCCTTCACTGCCCCCGCCGTCTTCAGAATATGACGTCATCTGCCGTCACCGTCGAGCTCAACGAGGCTTACCGTAATCGCTCCGGCCTGAAGCTGCTACATAATTTCTTCAATGGATTAACTGTTGAATAGCTTCCCAGAGACATTAGCTGTGACTATGCAAAACCGCTTTTGACCAGCGTTTCAGGGACGTCGTAATGGTCTATGGTACCTCGACGACCTCGTTGAGCTCGTACCGTGAACCATGTTTCCGTGGGAAAATCTTCTGATGTCGTCGGTGTAGAAGGCTGTTGTGTAGCTTTTGATAGATTATAATGTGCTCTTTAATATTCAGTTGGGGTCATTTGGTTTGGTTTCGCAACGCGTAAATAATTCCGTTTTGAATGTGGAGTGAAGTGTCTTTTTTTTGGCCACCCTGTATATGTGTGCGTGGTGATGGGTGGGGTTGGGCTGAGTAGGCGAGGCGAGCAAAAAACTCTGCATCTTGCTAATTCGAGTTGGGATTCCTTGTGAGAAACATGTTTCTTAATGGTCGCGTGACGCGCGTGGTGTCGTCCGCAGCTAAAATAGGCTCTATATTAATGCCGACATTGGTGGAGCTCGTGAGTTTTTCAGGTACACAAGGCTGTTTTATTCGATGGGCGCAACGTTGCTGTGAAAATTCAATATCCGGGAGTTGCGGAAGGTTAATCATTTCTTTGCGTTGCTTCCTTGCCGAGATTTACTGAATTGTTTTTCAGGGATCGACTCTGATATCGACAATCTTGTGTCCATACTTTCTTTCGGCCAACTTTTCCCTAAAGGATTGTTTTTGGAGAATTTTGTGGAGGTACATGGAGTTTTTGGATCCATCTTTTTGGATGCCTTACTGTTTGTTCAAGGTAGCACGCAAGGAACTCGCCGATGAGTGCAGGTATTTGAGAGAGGCACGTGCTATGAAAAAATTCCGTGAGTTGCTTGCTGACTCAAACGACTTCTACATTCCCGAAGTTGGTTTAGTTTTCTTTTCAATCTTCAACAGTACTCTTTCGTTATTAGCGTACTTTCATTAAAGGTGGTGGATTCGCTTACCACAGATCGAGTTCTCACTGCAGAATATATCGTAGGAAAACCTGTTGATCAATGCGTGAACGAACCACAAATTGTTCGCGATTACATTGCTGCAAAGTTCATCGAACTTTGCCTTCATGAGGTGCGTTTGTGACGAGCTTACTTTTAAAGGCTCATTTCTGACGTTGTTTTCATTTGTCTGGACACCACTGATGTATCCTTACTTCTTTTCTTCAGATTTTCATTTGGAGATTCATGCAGACGGATCCAAATTGGTCAAATTTTTTCTTGGGAGTTCATCCAGTGACAGGTTAGCGTTCATCGTCTAGTCTTGAAGGCGGAGCTCACCATTAGAATGCGGCCCATTAGAATCAAGGTGGAGGTAGTCGGTGTGTAGGATGAAACGGCCGAACGACGGTTTCGTCCTACATACCGATCACCTCCACCTTGATTATATTCGGTTCTTAGAAACGGCCCACAACTTGAAAAGTAGGATCTACTCTAACCGCTGATTTCCATGCTGATGCAACTCTCATTGGTGCTATCCTCTTCAACGCTAAAGCTGTCTTCTTATTAGCTGGAGACCCCGGCTAGTGGTTATCCAGTCGGTGGGCGTGCGGCGCCATAGCGCTATGGGAGGGCCATGCTAAATCGCCGGGGTCATATCCTTCGCTGCCCTCCTTTGAAATGATGCAATTATGCAAAACTTACAATATTCAGGCAAACCTCGTATGATTCTTCTTGATTTTGGAGCGACTCGTTCTTACAGTAAAACATTTGTCGACATCTATATGAAATTGATAAAGGCAGCAGCAGACCTTGACACTGAAAGAATCACTAAGTAAGTTGAAACACATAATTTCGTCATCATTTCTTTTGAACTCATGAGGAACGGAAGGTTTGGCGGGAAGCGTGTCCACAAAGAGTGCACTGAAGGGTATAGGAAAAATGTAGAATCATCATCAAGGAGCTGGTCATGTTTTTGATGGCGGACATCAGCTTATTGGAAGCTTTGGTTTTCTTTTTTTTGCAACAAATCTGCTTTGAGCAAAGGGGTTCGTAATTAGAATTGTTTTACTCCTTACGGGCTGCCACTTTCTCATTGCAGTTTCCTTTTTCTAATACTTATCTCTTTCTGTGGCTAATACGAAAGCCTGAATTATGGGTCGGCTTGTGGTACACGTTTGCAATTACATTATTGAATATAGTCCTTGTAATATTAGGTTGTCCTGAAAGTCTTTGGCCATTTCCATGTGTATGTTGTGAAATCTCCAGGGATAATTTTTGAACATCCATTGTAAAACGTATGTGAACCCTAGTCAATGATCTCTTCAGAGCATTTCTGCCGTGGTATTTCGCAGCGATTATGGCTGAGAAAATCGACTTTGACTGAAAGCATATTTGGCTACTCCTTGATTTTGAAACCCAGAAAACGCGTCAATGGAAGCGATGCGGCCTGAAGTCGTAAGTAGCTGAGACCTTCCATCGGTAGTGCGCGCTGCAGAAGATGAGCAGATGATACCTTGCCTTCGCTTATTTAGGCCATCGGTGGACTGCTAATCTTCACAAGTGCCTATGCCAAATCCGCCTCTATAGTTACTTCGGTTTCGATTCTAGGTAAGTTCACGTTTTTTTACACTTCAGTGCTTCTAATCGGAATTCCTTGTTCAGGCGGTATCATTGCTGCTGGAGTGTTTGATCTGGTGGCTCTTCTTGGATCTACGAAACAAAAAAGTCCGACCGCGCCGGGCGTTCAAGCTCTCTTTTTAGTAGTGAGGCTTAGCATGGTTCAACGCGAAGCAAGTATTTTCAAGCATGGCATGAAAGAGAGTTATGAATGCTTTTATTATTATTTATTTGTTTTTGTTTGTTGTTTATTGTTATTTATCGATGGAAATTTTTCTAGAAGTTTACACTAAATTTTCAGTAAGACACGCTCTAGTGAATACGTAACTTACCATTAGCATACACGATACTTAAGCTCTCATATATCAAAGTTCTTCAGTATATGATCATACTGTCGTGTGTCTTCATCATTCAATTTATCGTGGCAGTTCGTTTGCCTCGGAAATGTCTCCGAAAGCAGTCTGGAAGAGGTGGGCAACTTTACTTTCCAAATCAACTTTTGTGCGTTTCATCATTTTATTTCAGGTCGTGAGGAGTGGATGGAAAAAATCGGATGCGGCTGTGAAGTGGGATGCTCAGAAAGCATTCAGTTGCTGCGGCTTGGAGAAGGACCAGGAAGTGCTGACTTGTAAACGTTAGAACTCCGAAATAATCATTAGTGGCCATTTTCCATAATTTCCATTGATACGCAATAACTCTTACTCCGTTCGTTGCAAATTGTAAGAATATGAAAACGTTCTCACATTCTCTTCATTGGTTTCTTCCCACAGTTATGTGTTCTCATGTCAATCACTTTCCAACACTCAGTATTTGTGCACGCTTTTTTAAAGCTGTTTACTCCTTTTATTTTCGTTTATCTTATAGGAAAATTTTTTGAGAAAAAAACCCAAAGAAAACATCAAATGAGTGCGCTGAAATCTCTCATTTTCTTGTTCTCTGAGCCGACTCGTCTTGCTGCGGATTTGGAATACTATACTTATTCATTTAGCTCCAATGCTGGAACCAATGTGAGCCATGTCTTCCTATTATTGTCGATGTAACGAGCAGTAATCTGTCAAGAGTTGGACTGCTGGGACTTTTCTTCAGTTTCACCGAGGTAGGTGTTTGATCATCTCCTACTACAACTACGGTGAACCGCGTCGAGAAACCTTAGCCAAAGCAAATTCCTCTCTACTCACGATCTCTCTGCTACCCCACATTTCTTTACGACCTCGCAACTTATCCTCCTACCGTCTTCTAATCGCCGAGGGCCAGAACTTTGTTTAGTGCCGTGACTACGTGCGCACTCCATATCCGCCCTCCAAAAATACCAAAGTCAATCGAAAGGATTAAGCCTGAAGCAGCAATTTTACCCTCCAACCGCAGTTCACTATGCCTGCTCTACTCTCTCCCTAACAAACAATGGCACCCTTAAAATAGTAAATTACGGTTCTTCACCTTCGTAAAAAAAACACCACGTCATTTTCACCAAATAAGACCCCCTACTCCAACCAAGGCAGCAGTGCTGGTTTCGGAGTTCTTGCATGGTCCACCGTGTCTGTAAATCAACATAGGAATTCATTTATTCTAGCTGTGGAATGGCGGCGTACGTCTTCCGCAAACACGAGGATCCCAAATTGTCCAGAAAACACTGTTTCCTTTGCCGAGTAAAGAACACCTATGATAGAAGTCTTTGACAAACTATCTGTTGCATTAGTTTTATGTATTGCTGTCCTTCCCTGCGTTGTTTCCGATGTTTTCCCTATTCCTTCATTTGCTTCGCGGATGATAATGTTGTTGCTGACCATGATAAGAAAAATTAAATTTGTCTTTGAAAGTTCTTGCGCATCAATTTACGGATTTGAATTTCGGGATCAAGTAAAGTAGTACTAGTAGTTTGTTCAATCGAGTCATTAGGATTAGTTGATTGCTCAAGAGCTTAATCTCATCTTGAGATTTGTTGTGATGAAATAGCGTCCGGAATGATTTCTTCAGAATTGTTGTTCTGCCTAACAATTGAAGGTTTTATTATACTGTGATGCGGCGCGTTAGAGATTTCTATTGATGTATTCATTCTGTAGCCATCAGAAAATCTGCTATTATTGATGTTAAGATCTTCAGGCAGAGTAATCTAGTTCAATTGTATGCTTTAGATCTCTGTTTCATTCCATTTCTGGTTGTTTACATATTGACAAGTTGGTTGCTTCACTTGGAATTCTGTTTATCTCTTGTACATCCGTAATCATCGGTTTTGTTGTTCATCACAACCCGGTACCATGATTCCCATATTTTTCTCTTCTCGTATTAGTTTGAAGGAAATGAAGTAATTCCCAATGGTATTGGTATTGCCTCAATTTTTCCCTGTTTAATAACAGTGGATACCTTTTAATTCCACTATAGCATCGAAGGGTGATGGGGTAGTGTCCAAATTTTGCGTTACACGCCGCGCCAAAAAATCAAAGTTAAATTTAACCAGCCTAGCCATTATTCTGTGTTAAAAAATATAAAACTCTTTTATTATATAGTATACCTTTAATTGTCATAATGGGGCTTAAATTCGAACGTATTTCATTGTTGCACATTTATCTTAGAATAAAATCCTAGATGCCCGCCATTCATTGATAGGGCCAAGCTCATTCTAAAATGCCGTGACTCTTCGTAGTTATGATGCATGGCGCAATTTATACATGCTGATAGGCAGTCGAAGCCTGAAATTTGCATGATGGTAGTGTTGTGTCCTAGAACATTTTTGATCCCATATGATGACCCTCGCATAGTGCTCGAAGTAATCCCCATCGCCGCACCATAATATGTTCCAACCCCTAGGACGGTTCCCCCACCATCCATAATAAACCCGCCTCATTGGCCCTTTTATCGATGCTTATAATAGTACTCAATGCCACTCTGCTCTCCGCTTCAACTTCACCGTACTGTGCCAAAAAAGTCCTGGTCTTTTCACTCTCTAAGCGTCATGAGGCGGGTACTCGTAATGGCAGGTTAGCACATTGCAATCGATCGCAGGAATACTTAGGTAACATCCCAAGCTCCTGTCACTCTGAGTGCTTATGTGGACAAAGTCCGCTCGAACCACTAAACATATGAACTACATTGTCATCAAATTCTGGCTCCAAATACTGTTCACGCTGATGTCATTCAAATTGCCATTAGGATTCTAAATGAATGTAGAAGGTGTCGTACCTTCGGAATGGACATCATCAAATACATTCCGCTGTTGGAAAGTATAAATGGCGTGAACATAGGAAACTTCACACCTCTTTCAGAAAATTTCTTGAGCCTACAAGTTTTTGGTGAACCTTATATTCAATGGCTAGACCGTTTCGAGTGCTTCGTCATCAAAGGCCGGACAGTGCCACATTTTGAGCGGAGAGGTCCGCTGCTACACAGAGCGTGAGTTAGTCAGTTGTAAATATGTGTTCCAACGGACCTTTCCACTCAAAGGGTGAAACCGTTGGCCTCTGAAGAACGACGATGTCGAATTGTTGGGACACTGAAACAATACAGTTCATCAAACAACATCGAGAGGCCGAAAATTTAACACTGTTTCGGCATGTTTACCCAGCCCTTTACATGTGAAACAGCGTGAAGTTGAAGGAGATGCATATCGACATAAGGGCTCACCATCTAATTGATCGATAGTTTGTCTCGATACTATTTGTATTTTTTAGGGGTCTCCCTCGTACTTGGTTTATAGATCATGTTGCCGGATCTTTCGCCTCATCTCCATACTCGAGAGTGTAATCTGCTAATCGAGTTTCTGCAGAGATGCAACAAAGAAAAAACATTCGGTACTGTGTCCATTCTTTTCATTCTTTTCCAGCTAAGACTTTATGCTTTTTCACAGGCAGAATGTGTCGACTGTTCATATTGGGATGAGGCTGTGTGGCAGTGTACAAAGAAAGAGCGAATTTGGCGTAGGTACGAAATAGTGACCATTTAATTCTTACAGGTTCCGATATTGAACATTGGTGTTCTCAGTGCGTTTACTTCACAAATCAACTCGATTAATCAATAGCATCGCATTTTTCGTCGATTCACAAGCAAATCTCGATTTCCAAACATTACATACATGCCCAATTCCAATTTTCGGAGAAGCTTGCCGACTCGTTCCTGAAATGGGAATTTCTTTTTTGTTCTAAAGTCTGTGGTTTGCTATCCAGTTAACGAAATTTAACTGGCGGGATGGCCAAGTATCGTTAATATCTCAATGGGAATGGAAAGGAGTGCATCGCTAAAAACTAAGCGAAACGGTGAAGAACCCTAGAAAGTACCCTATTTTCTCTACGTGATTCCAGGAGTGGACGCCTTTATCACTAATAAAAGATCATGCGGGTAAATTGAATACTGTCGGCGTACCCTGAGAAAACAAGTAAAGATAGTAAAATAGCACAGTGACGATCGAGAGGCAGCTCGGGGTGTTGAGGGGTTTATCCCCGACAATGAGCTCTAAGAACCCATGAGATCGGCTCAGGGACCTTGGTCGTTGCAGTCAGCCGTCGCTCTTTCGTCGTCCTTCTGTCCACAGAGTTGAATTTGAGATCCTTATTCAATTATGCCCTAATACAAATCATTAGTCTTTCACATCACATCCAGATCTTCTGCCGTTTCATATGGCTACTGCGCGTGCTATCTGGTGCTTAACTATCTTTAGTATAAGAATAGCTCGTTTCCGATGAGGGGACAGCTGTATAAGTTCCGCGTTCTTTTATATTTCGAATCCATTTTTCAAAGAAATTATGCCCTATTACCTGCAAATTCGTAGGGAGCACATCCGCCTTATTCGAAACGAACTGGCGAACTGCGAAACCTACCAAGAAACATTGACCCCTTGCATTGAAAAAGTTGAAGAGGAGGTCTCACTGTCCGAGAATTTGACTCTAAATATGGAGCGTTTTCTGAATGCAGCTTTGAATCCGTTAATAGTCATATTTAATGGAAAATAGTCTTGATAGGGGTTGCTAAAGATGTTTGTATTGGATTAAGCGCCGCACAATACCGCTTGATGCTATTTTCATTTATCTCTTCGAAAATGTGAGTTTTTGGACCAGCTTTCTAGTGTAGTTTATCAGAACGGGTGAGATATCTGTGGACCCTTGTTCATGCGACGCTTTTTTCACGTCCACAGTGAGATGTGAGTACATGACTCCAAATTTCTCTAGGGTAGTTGAAAGCGGGTCTTGTTTGAGTGTCGCTTTTATAACTATCATTACTGGGTTGAAGCGGGGTGTATTGTTCGCGAATAACTCCTAGGCGAAGGTCCACGTGCCGTCGCGTGAATTTGTTCGCTAGCACAAGCAGTTCCTTTAATAATGGACTTAATCGAAGTTGGGACACGCAAGAGATCGAATAAATCGTCAGGTGGGATGGAATTTATTTATAACTGCGAGTGTCGTGCTTAGATTCCCTTATAGCAGGGCCTGAGACACAGCAACGTATGCTAGGAACCAGTGCACATACCTTCTACGGTAACGGGCGCTAAAGGCATTCCCAGGACTGAAGCTCAAATACTTCGTTATTTGACTCAAAACTGACTCCCGTGCAGTTGCCATGCAGTGATGGTTCGTAAATTTCGACGAGCCTGATCATAGAGCTTCATTACTTCTGATAATAATCTCTTTTGTCTTGTCGTGATTCTATCCGTTCATATAGTTGGTAGTTGTACGTCCTCAACGGATGCATAAAGAGTCACGATGAAAGACAGCCTTAGAAATCAAGATACGCCGGTGTCACGTGATGCGGGAATGGGAAGCCTCATGAAATATAGCCTTAGAAACGATAAATAGGATCCTTCTCACTCCGCTTGATTCATTGCGGGCGTGCTCATCTGCTGGACTTCCATCCCAATGGATCGCCTCTGCCAAAGCGCTATGATCAATGGCGAAGGTGGGCGGACAGCGGCGCGAGCGGTCGCGCGATAAGCATGCCTGCCCATTGGCATACCCTTGCGGCACACAAGTCGATCGGCCGCCATTTGAGGGCCAACGCACCTTTCTAAAAAGATATTCTTTTTCTTCCGCAGCCGACCCTGATTGATAAATCCCTCTAAAGTTGTAATATAAAAAAGTCGCAGGCGTCCACTGTAACTGAAAATTAGTCTCGAATTATGACGTTTTAGCATTTAGAACAGCAGAGACGCAGTATAAATTAGGTCGTTTTTGCTCAAACGACATTATTGATGTTTTTGAAAGTGTTGTGTTGAACTTAGTGTTTATCAAATCTTTAGGTGAAATATAAATTTCTTGGGAATGCTCCCATAAAGGGGTAGAACTCTTCTAATGTTAGTCACCTTTTAAATATGAAACCAATTGCCCTTTTTCGCAGCTTTTTTGCTTATGCTCTCATTAAGTATGCTTAGCTTATATACCATTACTCTTAAGAGAGTGATTTAGGTCTGAAGAAACGGAGAGTAATGAGATTAGGAGATTCACGCCAAGACAATGGTTTTGTGTGTACTAAAAAAAGGGCGGAAGTGGTGCAGTGACAAGTGGCGCGCTCACCACGCGAGCGGTCCGGGATCAATCCTGGGTCGTGAGTCGCCCGGCCAACCAAGCCTTCCATCCCTCCGGGGTCGGTTAATTGGTACCAGACTTGTACATCGGCTGGCCCCCGCAAGTCATTGTATAGGCCACATCGCATTCAAACGCCACTGCGAATGTACAAATGGAAGTAGAATGCGTGCCGCATCCCAAAAAGGGATTGATCAACGGCAAATGCTTTATCCTTTTATCCTTTATCAAAAAAAGCTCAGCCATATCCACTCGCCGAAACGTTCCATTCCAATGTTTAGTGAAAGTCTCCAGGATAATTCTTTGAACATCAGTGTGAAAACAAACCAGATCAAGTTCTTGTACGAAACATTTACAAAGATCACTTCATCCAAGCAACGATCGTCAAGGAATTTTGAAGAAGGTCCAGCAAAAGTCTCCAAGCCCCTTATGGGATGTTCTGTCCCACCAGTTGTGTTCAGCAGATCCGGCCCCAACAGAATACCGTCTGCTTCTGTTGCTGCTGATTCAACTAAAAGAGGGAGAGCTTTATGTTCCGGACTACTCGAAAACGGACTTCCTCCAGTTTTTTGCCTTGAAAGCTCAGGACTTCTAGGCAAACGGCATCCACAAGTCACCTGCTGAAAGGCAATATGTTGACGATTACGATGGGGCATATGACTGTAAATTGCTGACTGGGCTAAAGAAGAAAAGTGGATTTGAAAAAAAAATCGACAAATGGCCAAAGACTTTCAGGACAACCTAATATTTTGCGAGACCCAGCCTCTATTAACACACTACGGACCGCCGTTGCGAGTTCCGCATGTGCAAGTTTTATTCTATTATTAGCTTTTCATCAATTATCACTAGTTTCTCAAATTTTTTGACAACGTTAACATCCGTGTTTTTCGGCTCTCATTACTTACATACAAACTGCTGAGGACATTTGAAAATTTTCACAAAAGGGCTTCCGTGTGGTTAAGCACATTGTGTTTGATTCAATGCGCTTGGTTTCTCCCACATTGTTCCGAACTATGGAAATTTTTTATCAGGCTGGCCTGCCCTCTGATTTTTTATCTTTAGATTGTCAAAAGATATTGGTTTTTTGACTGGATACGAAACCGCCGCAATGGAGTATGCCCATGCCCAATCGGTGTTGATCATGGGCGAAACGCTTGCAAGTAATACTCCGTTCGATTTTTCTCGACAAAGTGTTACCAAAAGGATTCAGAAGCATTTACCGGTCATGTTGGAGCACAGGTGAGTGTTTCTCTGCTGGACTTCTGGGCGTCATGTCAGATCAGAACCGGATCACCATTACTGGTTCAGATTGAAATCTCCCCCAGAGGAAATCTATTCGCTTCATCGAAAGCTTTCCGGCTCGTACTTGCTAGCTACAAAGCTGAAAGCTGTGGTCTCATGTGGTGGCCTTTTCAATGAGATTTACGATAATTACGCGTTTGGAGAAGATGGCAGAGACATCGATATCGATTCTGAACCCGAAGTTTCAGAAAAATCATCATAATAAGTTTTTGTACTTTTGTTACGACTCTCTACCTCGTAACTAACGTCACTTTGTTTAGGTTACTAGATTGAGATTTCTTCTTTTTTTATTTTTGTCTGCTTTTCTTGTGATTTGAAGCATTAGAGTGGGTTACAGCAGCAATGCTGATTGGAGAAACCTTTCATGTGCTTTTTGTGATAGCATCGATTAGTTAAGGAAAGTAGTGCCTAGTCTATAGAATGAATATAGGATTGTATACTTGCCATGTTCTCTAGAGTTTAGGATATTCATTCCTAGAGATATTCGAGACATTCTTAAATGTCACGTTCCTTTGTTGTACAGTTAATAACGTGAACATGTTCTCAGTTGCGATTGTTTAGAGTTTTTAATGAAAACTTTGAGATTATTTTTTGTCCTGTAAGCAGCGTTACGCGATTATTACTGCACTCCATTCTGTAGCTTACTGTTGTTTCGGGCGTAGACGTCATTTTTGTTCAGGCTTTTTCATGGTGTCTCCGCTGAATTGCGGTTACGATCTGACGCAGAAAGCTTTGCTTTCCCTGAACCTTTTCTATGTGGTAAGAGTTCCTTGATCTTTTCATCTTTTGCCCATTTGCATATCTTCGGCAGTACATACATACATAAAAAGAAATAATGCGGCTGGGTCAGACACTATATTTGGCCCAGAGGAATGTTTGAGGGGCTTTAACATCTTTAGCTCCATTGGCATTTTTCGAGGAAACGAACCTGCAAGTCCTTAAGTAGCTGAGACCTTCCATCGTAGTGCGCGCTGCAGAAATATGGCAGATGATACCCTTGTCCTTCGCTTGTTTAGGCCATCGGTGGATTGCTAATCTTCACAAGTGCCTATGCCAAATCCGCCTCTATAGTTACTTCGGTTTCGATTCTAGGTAAGTTCACGTTTTTTTACACTTCAGTGCTTCTAATCGGAATTCCTTGTTCAGGCGGTATCATTGCTGCTGGAGTGTTTGATCTGGTGGCTCTTCTTGGATCTACGAAACAAAAAAGTCCGACCGCGCCGGGCGTTCAAGCTCTCTTTTTAGTAGTGAGGCTTAGCATGGTTCAACGCGAAGCAAGTATTTTCAAGCATGGCATGAAAGAGAGTTATGAATGCTTTTATTATTATTTATTTGTTTTTGTTTGTTGTTTATTGTTATTTATCGATGGAAATTTTTCTAGAAGTTTACACTAAATTTTCAGTAAGACACGCTCTAGTGAATACGTAACTTACCATTAGCATACACGATACTTAAGCTCTCATATATCAAAGTTCTTCAGTATATGATCATACTGTCGTGTGTCTTCATCATTCAATTTATCGTGGCAGTTCGTTTGCCTCGGAAATGTCTCCGAAAGCAGTCTGGAAGAGGTGGGCAACTTTACTTTCCAAATCAACTTTTGTGCGTTTCATCATTTTATTTCAGGTCGTGAGGAGTGGATGGAAAAAATCGGATGCGGCTGTGAAGTGGGATGCTCAGAAAGCATTCAGTTGCTGCGGCTTGGAGAAGGACCAGGAAGTGCTGACTTGTAAACGTTAGAACTCCGAAATAATCATTAGTGGCCATTTTCCATAATTTCCATTGATACGCAATAACTCTTACTCCGTTCGTTGCAAATTGTAAGAATATGAAAACGTTCTCACATTCTCTTCATTGGTTTCTTCCCACAGTTATGTGTTCTCATGTCAATCACTTTCCAACACTCAGTATTTGTGCACGCTTTTTTAAAGCTGTTTACTCCTTTTATTTTCGTTTATCTTATAGGAAAATTTTTTGAGAAAAAAACCCAAAGAAAACATCAAATGAGTGCGCTGATGAACTCCTATTTTCTTCTTCTCTGAGCCGATCTCGTTTTGCTGCGGATTTGGAATCTATACTATATCATTTTAGCTCCAATGCTGGAACCAATGTGAGCCATGTCTTCCTATTATTGTCGATGTAACGAGCAGTAATCTGTCAAGAGTTGGACTGCTGGGACTTTTCTTCAGTTTCACCGAGGTAGGTGTTTGATCATCTCCTGCTACAACTACGGTGAACCGCGGTCGAGAAACCTTAGGCCAAAGCAAACTTCCCTCTCTACTCTACGATCTCCTTCTGCTTACCCACATTTCTTTACGACCCTCGCAACTTATCCTCCTTACCTTCTAATCGCCGATGGTGCCAGTAGCTTTGTTTAGCCTTGACTACGTGACGCACTTCCAATCCCCCCCCCCTCAAAAAACCCAAAGTCAATCGAAGAGGGGTCTATATGCCGATGAAGCAGCAAGTTTTACACTCTTACCGCAGTTCACTATGCCTGCTCTACTCTCTCCCTAACAAACAATGGCACCCTTAAAATAGTAAATTACGGTCTTCACCTTCGTAAAAAACACACCACGTCATTTTCACCAAATAAGACCCCCTACTCCAACCAAGGCAGCAGTGCTGGTTTCGGAGTTCTTGCATGGTCACCGTGTCTGTAAATCAACATAGGAATTCATTTATTCTAGCTGGTTGGAGTATGGCTGGCGTATCGTTTCCGCAACACGAGAGATCCCAAGATTGATCCAGAAACACTATTCCTTTGAAGAGTAAAGGAGAGTACATATGTGATAGAAGTTCTTTGACAAACTATCTGTAGCATTAGTTTTATGTATTGCTGTCCTTCCTTGCGTTGTTTCCGATGTTTTCCCTCTTCCTTCATTTGCTTCTTGCGGATGATAATGTTGTTGCTGACCATGATAAGAGAAATTATATTTGTCTTTGAAAGTTCCTAATTCGTATCAATTTGACGGGGATTTGAATTTCGGGATCAAGTACAAGTAGTACTAGTAGTTTGTTCAATCGAATCATTAGGATTAGTTGATTGCTCAAGAGCTTAATCTCATCTTGAGATTTGTTGTGATGAAATAGCGTCCGGAATGATTTCTTCAGAATTATTGTTCTGCCTAACAATTGGATGTTTTATTATACTGTGATGCTGGCGCTGTTTTTAGAGAATTTTCCATTATTGATGTATTCATTCTGTAGCCATCAGAAAATCTGCTATTATTGATGTTAAGATCTTCAGCAGAGTAATCTAGTTCAATTGTATGCTTTAGATCTCTGTTTCATTCCATTTCTGGTTGTTTACATATTGACAAGTTGGTTGCTTCACTTGGAATTCTGTTATTATCTCTTGTACATCCGTAATCATCGGTTTTGTTGTTCATCACAACCCGGTACCATGATTCCCATATTTTTCTCTTCTCGTATTAGTTTGAAGGAAATGAAGTAATTCCCAATGGTATTGGTATTGCCTCAATTTTTCCCTGTTTAATAACAGTGGATACCTTTTATTCCACCTATATGCGTCGAAGGGGTGGAAGTGGGGTAGTGTCAAGTGGTGTCTTACCACGCGTATAATATGGGGCTTAAATCCTGGAACTATGTCAGTTGTTGGCACATTTATCTGGGGAATAAAATCAGTGCCCCGCCAGTCATTGTATAGGCCAAGGCGCATTCAAAATGCCGTGACGATTTTGAATAGTTTAGGATGCATGGCGCATTTTAAAAAGTGGCTGATGAGCATCGAATGCTCTGAATTTTGCATGATGGTACTATTGTGTCTAGAACATTTTTGATCCATATGATGGGATTTCTGCATAGTTGCTCTAAAGGTTATCAAATCGCGCACTATAAATATGTATGTTCCACCCCTAGGGCGGTTTTCCACCCAGTGTATACCAATGTATAATAAACCCTCATTGGCCCTTTTTACGATGCTATAAAGTAGCAATGCCACTCTCCTCCGCTTAACTTCACCGGTACTGTGGCAAAAGTCCTGGTCATTTTCCACTCTCAAGCCAGTCATGAGGGCGGAGGTACTGTAATGGCAAGTAGCGCAG